AGCTCATTGTTCCACATCCCTAAGGGCCAAAAACACTTCCCTCAACCTTTCTCTTCCCCTCAACCCTTTCGTCCCAAACCTACTGCAAAAAAAACAGCCCAACAAAACCCACTTTTCTTCCTTCATTCCCTACTGCCCAGAACCAGCCCCAAAAAAAGCCATTCCTCCCTCACCTTTTGCTTTGGTTTGAGAAGCCAAAGACTGCCCAAAAACCCAAAGGCCCACCCACCTTATCACCAAAAAAAGCCCCTGGCTAAACCATCCAAAAACCAAGCCAAAACATACTCCAAAAACCTTCCAACTCACTGCCCAGGAACCAACCCCAACATAACCTATCTTTGTTCACCTTAGGCCTCCAAAAATCAACCCCAATTCGGCCAACCTATACCCCAAAATACCCTGCACTTCTTCTTCCTCAAAACCATGTCAAACCACTCCCAAAACATGTCCCATAGAGATTTAGTTCCTGAACAGAATAAACTCAAGAAGGAGCTTGATGCTTTGATGAAAAAGATTGGAGAGTTCACAAATTCAGTGGACATTCCGACCTTTGAAGGAAGAAACGATCTGGAGAAGTTCCTATAGTGGCTCAAGAAGGTTGAACATATCCTAATCCTCAAGGATATGCCCGAAGGCAAAATGGTCAAGCTTGTAGCATCCCGGCTCCAACGAAACGCTTCCACTTGGTGGTCACATATTTCCATTAAGAGAAAGTTCGAAGGAAAACCCAAAGTACAAACTTGGGAGAAGATGAGGAAGCTGTTGATCAAGAAATTTTTGCCAAGGGATTACCATCACATGGTTCCCTCAACCCCCTTTAAAACTCATACCCCAACCATACCTTTGTCTCCACAAAAACCACCCCATGAAGCCCCTCCAAAAACACCAAGAGCAAGCACCCTACGTATGTTCCCAACCCTCTCCATTCCTCCCCTCACACCTACACCTCAAGCTTCAATTGAAAACCAATCCCTCTCTTCCCCGAGCCCTGCCCCAATGGTTCCAAACCACAACCCCACACCCCTACCCCAAATCTCCTCTAAAACTACACCTCCTCTCTCCTTAACTCCTACCCAAGATACTTCCCAGTGCACTCCCACTCCTGCAGTTCGACAGCAACCCAAAACCATACCTTTACCTCTCCTAACCACTGCCCATCACACCCCCAACTCCGGTCCAACACCCCGACCCCAATCCGTCCCCAAAGTCGTGTCTTTAAGCCTACCACAAACCCCCAAGAGTACCCCTGAAGAGTCATCTTTCTTCATGGTTCAAACCCCCACCTTTGCTCCCCAATTTTCTAAGTCCGAACTACCTTCCTCTCAAACTACCGAAACCATGCAGCCCACTACCCCAAAGATCATTTGGGATGAATATGATGACGAGGACTATAATCCCATTTGGGATGACGAACTTGTCAAAGAGAAGGAAGAAGTGTTTGAAGACGCAGAGGATAACCCGTTTTGGGTTGCACAGATACAAGAAGAAGAGCAAGATGTGAAGGCCCACGAGGAAGTCATCACTCCTGACGCGGAAACATCCACTGGAGACCCATCTTCATTAACGGTACCTTGTACCAAACGTGTTGAGTTTTTGCAGGTCCTGTATGAAGAGAGGATTGAGAAGAATCGTGACTCGAAATGGTCCATTCAGCCCGGTGACCTAGTGTGGGTTCACATTCATAAGGCGCGTTTATTCAATAAACGCAAATCAAAGCTACAACCCCAAGACGATGGCCCGTTTGAAGTGTTGGCAAAGGTTCACAAAAATTCCTACCAGGTCAATCTTACACGAGGCATAGAGGTTGCTGCCACGTTTCATCGAAGAGATCTTAGCCCGTACGAGGATTTTGAAGATCTTCCGAGTTTGAGGACAAACTCTTTTGAACACCGGGAGGATGTTATATCTGGGCCCGGCCCTATCCTACCCTCCCCCATGTCCCACACTCCCATGGGAACCAAAGGACTTATGTTCAAACATTATGATCCATTTTAGTAACAATTCAAAGTCCTTTAACCCGGAAGGCCAAATAACTTTCGTTTTTGACCTCGGGGTTCCGCTGGCCAATCCTCTTTTCGTCCAACCCAACCCCAAATATCCAAAAGTATTTTATTTCCTTTTGATATCCAAAATAAAGTTCTTCCTACTCTTATTTTAGCCCCAGGCCGAAAATAAGAATGTGTAAAATAAAACCTTTTGTTTGTTGTTATTTTCCTTCTTTAAAAGCCTTTATTGAGCCAATAAAACCCTCCCTTTATTCCATTCACCCCCTGGCCAAAATACACTTCACAATCCCAACATAAACACCCACAAAGAGCCAAAACCATGACCCACCTCCAGCCCCTACTTCCTGCCCANTCGTCCAACCCAACCCCAAATATCCAAAAGTATTTTATTTCCTTTTGATATCCAAAATAAAGTTCTTCCTACTCTTATTTTAGCCCCAGGCCGAAAATAAGAATGTGTAAAATAAAACCTTTTGTTTGTTGTTATTTTCCTTCTTTAAAAGCCTTTATTGAGCCAATAAAACCCTCCCTTTATTCCATTCACCCCCTGGCCAAAATACACTTCACAATCCCAACATAAACACCCACAAAGAGCCAAAACCATGACCCACCTCCAGCCTTCCTGCCCATGTTTCCCTCACAATAACCCAAAGCCATAACTCCAAAACACCCATAAATAATACCCAGCCCTGTCCCCTTTTATTGGCCAAAACATCCCCCCCATTTTACCCAAATAATAGCCACAAAAAACCCAGGAAACAACCACAAGGAACCAAAACACAAACCCCCACAACACCAGCCCCATCCCTGAATTTTATCCCACTAAGGAGACATGTTTGAATGAAGAATGCCCCATGCTTTGAGAGAGGATGTTGCTAGGAAGCTTCCTCATGTTCACATTCAATGTATTATGTATTTTCTCCTTCCCCTCTCCCTATATAACTCAGGCCATATGGCCATTGTAACACAAACTTTGAATATTAAAACTCCCTTTTACTCTTTGAGTATTTATAAAATAGTGTGATGCTATTTTAGCCAAATTCCTAATTCTATATCTTAAGAGTGGTTATCTTAAGTGTGAGTTTTAGGTTCTAGATATTTGATTAAGTGTGTCATATCTTAATTAAATACTAGAGTTCAACCCCAAGTTAATCTAGAGGTGAGCTTATCCTTTAGTATTAATTTGGCTCCAAATTAAGATAAGAGTGTGTTTATCTCTTATTCCTTATTTGAAATTTATCCCATCCTTTCTAAACCCATCCTTCATCCCTGATTTTCCACTCTTCTTCATAATATCAAAACCCAAAAAGAACTCCTTCACATTCCCATATTTTCATCCAGCCCATTTCCCCTTCATTATTCCACAATTCCATCTCCAAAAATAACAACTTGATAAGACCCCCGGTTTACCCCTAACATATTACCCTTTCGGTTGGGGTATTTGGAAGAACTTGGGTTATCGGCTAACAAGTGGATCTTGTGGCTGACCGGGCTTCTTTTCTTGGATGGATTGAGTCTTGATATCTACATGATGCTCCTGGAATCGTTGTTTGATGGTTGAACAAGTACATTATGTCATGTGCCTAACCATGAGAATGGATGCTGCCCAATGAACATACTGCCCATAGTTGGAAACCTTGATACCTCCCTTGTGGTATTTATCTCTCTTGTATTGCACCAGAACTGAAGTTATGAAATACTCTTGCCTGCACTTCACTTTGAAGGATATCTCCTAAGGAATCACTATAAATCAGAAAAGGAAGGAATGAAAAGGAATGAATTGATCTGTTACTCATGCTTTGTAATGTTTGTTTGCGGTGTAACTGTCTGTATGACTTTGTGTTATGTTATGTTTGTTCTGTTTGGTGTTCTGTAATATTTGTTTTTAGAATAGTTGGGCTTGTAATTTCTTTCATATGCATGTAACCATTATCATGGTTGCATTTGACTTTGATGTACTTGTTTGATTTGGGTAATAATAATTTACATGTTACCTTTCGTTTCAATGGAAGTGTTTATTTTTTCATGTCCATAATTGTTTGAAACAATGTTTATTTGATTGTTGTACATATATTGTCCGAAAGTATGAAAGTAAAGTTAGAGAGCGTATCCATTTTCATTGTAAAAAAGATTACCGTTACTCTGAACCTTTAAAATAGTTTTAGGGTTAAGAGCTAGACTACTATTTAAAACGAGTATTTTTAACTTTTAAAATTGTTCTAGGCTTAATACGCACAATTCTCTTAAAAACAGTTTTCTTTACTTATTATAGAATAACCGTGAAAAAAAATGGTGTGATACACATTACTAGTAATACATTACGGTTTCTCAAAACTTTAAAAATATATCTAGGCTTAATAGTCTAACTACTGTTTAAAAAGGGTATTTCTTAACTTGTAATAGATTACTACTAATACAAGGGAGTCTTCTATTCTTATAATAAACAACTATGCAAAACAAAACCATATGAAACATACAACTTACAATAGAATATTATTTCTTATAAGTTTAAAAACAATTATAAACTGAAAAACCAGACCACTATTTAGAAATAGTAGTCTTAACTAATTTTTGACAATTGTGGCAACAAAAACTGTATTTTTAGATGAAACGGACTACTAATAAAAGATTACTGTTTCTCACAACTTTAAAAACAGTTCTACCTTTAGTTCATAGACTACTAATGCAAAAGAGTCTTATATTCCCATTATAAACAACAGTGGCAAAAAAACAATATGAAACAGACAACTAACGATAGATAACTGTTTCTAATAACTTTAAAAACAGTTCTAGACTAGAATACTAGACTACTATTTTAATAGAGTATTCTTAACTTGTTATTGACAACTGTTATAACAAAAACTGTATTTTGAACTGACACAGACAACTAGTGATATATTACCGTTTCTCGAAACTTTAAAAACAGTTTTAAAGCATAGTAGCTAGACTACTGTTCGGTAGCTAAGAAAAACTCAGAATAGTATGTTTTTTTAAATACTGTGTTTCCATAAACAGTAGTTAAACAACAGTCATCTGATACTGTTTTTGGCGTAGTGGTAGAACTGATTTTGTTGTGTAGCTGGAAAACCGAAAAGGCCAACAAATGTTTTTTTCTTATTCTTTTCAATGGTGGAGATTTGTTGTAATTTGTTTGAAAAAGAAAAAGAAAAAAAGATGAATATCAAAGGTGGTGGCCATCCGACATCGGATGGAAGTTTGTATTGGGAGAGGTTTCGCAATTATAAATTGAGCTCCTTCCCCTTTGTTTTGTTCATCCAAAAATTCAGTATTCTCTTATACTGTTTTAGAGATTTAGAGATATTTTTTCTCTTGGAGATCTCTTGAGAATAGTATGTTAAGAGTTGCTGTGTGAGAAAAATATTGTGTATTATATGGTGTAATAATTTTCATATAGTGAATATTTTTCTGGGAGGTCCGGGGTTTTTCTCCAATTGGGGAGTTTTCCATGTTAAATCTTTCTGTTGTTACTCTTTTCAAATCTTTTTTTTCTATTTTGCTTGAAGCGAGTCTGGGCGGGGAAAAAAAACTATAGATCATTTTTTTCCCTAACAAAGATTACCTGCCATCCTGCTCTTGACATCAATGACACACATTTCCTCCAATTGAGTTCTTGCTTATCTCCACAAAAAGCTTACTGTCCTCCTTGTAATATTGAAATCAGCTATAGAAATCACCTTAAATAGGACTAAAACATAGGGAAAAGTACCAAAATAGGACTTCTATGTTTTTTCTCGAAATAGGACTTTGCACTGTGGTAATGTGACTTTGTCTGTTGTAATGTGGCAGTGTACATGAGCAAATTATTATACTTTTTTGGTAATGTATATGACCATGTATGATAATGTAAGTCCTATTTCGGGAATAAAAATATGGAAGTCCTATTTTGGTATATTTTCAATGTTTTAGTCTTACTTTGGTCTTTCTCCCAATCAGCTATAGTTTTACTTATAACACCCCTCTGAGTAGTAATCTTGCCCAGTGCATTAGGCTTTGCTTGCATCAATGATATTTTGCCTTTCATTATTGCTCAATCTGTATTTTCTTTTGCTTGGGTTTCTTCACCCCTATTTTCTGTTTGCAGGGACATGTGGTAGAAGAAAGGTTGTAGTTTTTTAAGGAAGAAAAGAGAGAAATGAAGAAGAAGAAAAGGAAAGAAAGGATGATGAAGAAGAAGAAAATGAAAGAAAGGAAGAATAAGAAGACTGGGCATGTGTTGCTATTTTTGGAAGGATTATTTATAGAGAACATCTGTAGCACATTTTTCCTCCACGTTTTGATTTTTTTAATGGGTTTTGGGTATTTTAGAGGGAAATGTTTCACTTTTGCAGATGTGAATCATGCGTATTATGTACATGAACACATGTATATAACGATTGAATTGGAAAAAATCTAAACTTTTGTATTTTGTCATTATTGAGCACTATGCACTTTATTCTTTTAATTTGTTTTCTAAAAAGTGACACATGAAGGCCATAATAAGAAACTCATCTCCTTTTCCATTTTATATTAAACTCGTGCCAAGTCAAAACAAGAAATTTCAATTTGGACGGAGAGAGTACTCCCTCTGTCCTAAAATTAACTTTCCAGTTTGACTTTTGCAGTCACATTTTATAAACTTTGACTGTATATTACAGAAAAAATATATTTAATTTTTCATATAAATTTATTATCAATAGATTCATTTTGAGACATACTTTTAAAATATATAATTTTTATAATATGTATTCATATAAAAATAAAAATAGTAATGGTCAAAATATCATATTAGAAACCGTGAAAAATCAAATGTGAATAATTTTAGGACTATTTAAATACTCCGTATTTATATTGATATGTAATTTCTCCCATTTATCCCGGTGGATTCTTTAGAAAAAGTCAAAGCAGCCGCGCAAATGTCGATCGGCCATCTCTGTTAACCAGGCGGGGCAGTAACCGGCCGGAGAAATGCGGCATCCGATTGCTTTACTACTTGTAATTATGCCTCTCTTCCTTTCAGCCGCCGATCCCGCTGGAAGCTTTGCCGGGTTTCCGAACATACGCCTCAAGTCTGGTGTCACTGGACTCTGTTCTCACCTCATCCAACCTGCCGGTTTCTCTTGCTTGGAGCACTCCGTAAATTTCCCACAACCTTCTTCCAGTATTTTATGTCTATTTTCGTTTGACGTTTCATTGTGAAGACATTGTTTAATAGTTTTGGCTTATAGAAGGTGGTTGTTTGATTTTTCATTGTAGACGGAAACTAAGGATGGATATGTTCTTGGGCTACAACGGGTTGGGTCCAGATCAGGAATTGTCAAGGGCGAATTGGGTCCCCCCCGTTCTTCTCCTTCACGGGCTTTTTATGGTAATTTCTTCTCAGAGACATTGTATTGGATTTAACAGTGTCACTCTTACTCTAAGGGTTTAATCTGAATCCACCTTTGTTGGACTTACATTTGTCACTTAGCTTACTAGTGGAATAAAAGTTGTTATTTGCTCCATGGATTCTTAAATGTGAATTTTTCTAGCTTAGGATTGTTTCGAGATCAGTCAGCTTAAAGTTTCTTGTGAATTCTACTAAGATTTTGGCACTTTTTTTGTTCAAAACAGGCAGGAGATTCATGGTTTCTGAATTCTGCCAACCAATCATTGGGATTTATACTTGCTGATCATGGATTTGATGTTTGGGTTGGAAATGTGCGAGGAACTCGCTGGAGCCATGGACATGTATCTCTAACTGAGAAAGATAAGGTCTATTGGGTATTGCATTTATGTGGTTTGAAATTTATGCCACAAGCATGGAAGTTCATATCACATGTTTGACATGATTCTTTGAAGGATTTCTGGGACTGGAGCTGGCAAGAGTTGGCTCTTTACGATCTAGCAGAGATGACACGCTATGTATATTCAATCACCAACTCAAAGGTTTCCATTGTGGGGCACTCTCAGGTATAAATTCTTTTTACATACTGAGCTTTGTGTTGCCTCGTAGTTTACTTCTTCTTTTTTTAACATTCTTTCTTTTTTCAGGGCACAATAATTTCTCTGGCTGCTTTAACCCAGCCAAATATAGTAGAAATGGTTGAAGCTGCAGCACTCCTTTGCCCTATTTCGTATTTGGATCATATAACATCCACTTTTGTCCTTAGAATGGTCAAGATGTATCTTGATGAGGTATTTGGATGACTCCATGATATTAGTGCTGGTGATGAGGACTCAGTGTAGAATTTATCATGCTAAACATGTTTCTCTTTGAACAGGTGATTCTTGTGTTGGGCGTTCATGAACTTAATTTCAAGAGTTTTTTTTTTTGAACAAATGCAAACATTTTTTATTCACCACAACAACTAATACAAATACAATTCAAACCCACCCAGGCTATCCAAACATCCCTAGTCCCTACCTTAGCCACATCCTCTTCAACTTAGCATTTATGTAAACTCTCACATAATCCCTAATCCAAGCACTACATTCTTCAGGGGAAATAATACGATTCTGCTTAATTTTGAGGTTACGAGCATGCCATATCCCATAGCATATTGCTGCAAATCCAGCTACTGCCGTTTGTCTCTGCTGCCTTCCCTTGGTTTTCTTGACTTCCACCATCATCTCTTCATTAGTCTTCGCCCTCCATTGGAATTGTATCCATTTGCCAATACTATTCTGGACACATTTAGTATAATCACACTCATAGAATAAATGTTGCTGATCTTCAACCCCATTATTACACAACACACAGGTTGTGTCCATCTCCATGTATTTATTCAGTCTATCCTTGGTTGGAACTCTGTTTTTCCATCCCAGCCATTGGAAGAATTGATGTTTAGGAATTGAGAGTTTATTCCATACTATTTGATATGCCTGGAACACACTGCACTCCCCCATCAGCCATTCATACCCTTTCTGACTAGAATAATCCCCATTACATCCCATTCCAGCAAACAGACTTCTATTATTTAACATCTTTCTCAAATAATAACACATACCTGCCTTTGGTTGTAGGTTCCATATGGTATCACACTTGAGGTACCTATTATGGATCCATTTAACCCACAATATATCTTTCTTGCTTGCAATATCCCAAAGTAGTCCTTGATTACATGCTTGATTCCAGTAGACAAGATTTTTGAAGCCCAATCCCCCAGCCTTTTTAGGTTTGCATACCTCTTCCCAGCACACAGATGAGATCCTCTTATACTCTGCACTTGATCCCCATAAAAAATTCCTGCATATAGCCTGAATCTTATGCATTACTTTATTAGGTATAACAAACAGCTTACACCAGAACGAGATCACCCCCATTAACACCGTATTAATTAACTTGCATCTCCCTGCATAGGAGAGATGCTTGGTAGCCCAGCTAGTGATCTTAACAGTCAACTTATTAATCAGTCCTTCACATTCCCTTTTAGATATTCTGCTAGGTGTAATGGGACCCCCTAAATATCTGAAAGGAAGTGTTCCTCTTTCCATTTTAGCCTCTCTTAGAATGCCATCAGCCTCTTGATCAGTAATTCCACCGAGCACCATCTGAGATTTGGAATAATTCACCTCCAATCCAGTGACATCCTTGAAGTGGTTAAGACAAGAGATAATGGTTTTAACTGATCCCATATCAGCTTTACAAGAAATAATCAAATCATCCGCGAATGCCAAACTTATAATATTGAGACTCTTGCACATTGGGTGATACTTAAAAACATTATTATTAGCATAAAAAGAAAGGGCCCTAGTTAAATACTCCATAACCAAAGTGAATAACAGGGGTGATATTGGGTCCCCCTGTCTAATCCCTTTACCTCCTTTAAAGAAGCCAACATTTTCTCCATTGAGCAGCAAGGAGTAAGAGGTGTGTGAAATGCAGTAGTATACCCACTCAGTATACTGCTCCGGAAAGTTTAAAGCCATCATAATATCCTTTATGGCCTTCCAGCTTATAGAGTCGTAAGCCTTCTTTAGGTCAATCTTCATTAAGCATCTAGGTGAGATGTTCTTCCTGTTATATCCCTTAGCAAGCTCTTGGCACAGGAGTACATTATGCACAAGCAGCCTCCCCTCCACAAATGCTCCTTGGTTGAGTATAGAGAGAAAAGAATCATTTATTACTCAAAACTCAATAAGTCCTAGGATGTGAGGGAAAATCCCAGTTTCTATTGCTGGGATATTCAAATAGAAATGAAAACAGCTAGTAAATGCTTTTTCCTATGGGCGAAAGGTCAAGCCAACACACTAGACAGAGCAATGCAAAGCAATAAACGTTGGTTGCAAATATAAAATTTAATAATGTCTTTCAGAGCGTCTGTAACCTTCAATCTGTTGCAGAGGATCTTTGAAATAAGTTTGTAAAGTACATTACAACACGATATTGGTCTGAAATCTGTAGGTGTTCTAGGGGTATCCACTTTAGGGATTAAGACCAGATTGGTGGCATTAAGTTGCTTAGGGAACTTCCCATTAATGAAGAACTCTTTCACAGCCTTACACACCAATGCCCCCACAACATTCCAATTTCTTTTATAAAAGCCACAGTTAAATCCATCCGGGCCTGGGCTTTTGGTATTGGGAATTGAGAATAATGCCTCTTTAATCTGATCATTGGAGACAGGATCCACTAGTTGAAGCTGTTGGGCAACATCCAGGCGAGGTCCTATATTAATAATATCCACCTGAATAGGGTCTGTCCAGGTTCTATGCCCTTGCCGTTTCGGAAAATAATCAACCATAACCTCTGCTACCTTGCTTCTGCCCTCCACTTTTTCCCCTTTATCAGTGATGATTGAAGTTATCTGGTTGAAAATAGTTCTCTTCTTAGTCCAAGCAAAGAACAGTTTTGACCCTTGGTCACCCTCACAAATCCAGTTCTGTTTAGCTTGTTGCATTCTCATCATATGTGAAGCTTTATTCTTGAATATAAGCTCCTGTAGGCATTCCTTCTCCCTATCCAGCAGGCTTGTATTGTTAATATCCCCCTTCAGTTTGCTTTGAATGTCACTAAGTTCCTCTCTGAGAAGTTCACACTGCTGATGTATGTGATGGAATTTTTTGTTAATCTGTTTAAGAGGATGCTTAAGATCCTTTTGTTTTCTTATCAACTGATACATGAACCACCCTGGGATATCTTTATTCCAAACTGCTTGGAGAATAGGTTTAAAATCATTGTCTAGTTCCCACATATCACAATATTTAAATCCCACATTCCTTCTGTCCTGCATATAGGTTCTAATCAGTAGAAGGCAATGATCAGATATACCTTCCTCAATTACCTGGACCTTCTCATCAAATTTCATAATCCATTCCAGGTTAGATAATGCCCTATCCAATCTAGAATAAATTCTGTTTCCATTACCTTGTTTGTTGCTCCAAGTATAATAGCTACCTTCACTAGGGATTTCTTCCATCCCACATGTTATCATACACTCTTTAAATTCCTTTGTTTCTTCTTCAGTGACATTGTTGCCACCAATTCTGTCCTTCAAGCTAAGGACAGAGTTAAAATCCCCAATAATTCCCCATCCAGCCACCATACTATTAGCAATTCTCTCCAAATGATCCCAAAGTCCTTTCCTATCCTATGAATTATTATGTCCATACACAAAGGTTAAGTAAAACTCTTGAGTTTCCCCAATAATTCTCCCTTTACAATGAACCAGTTGGTCACTCCATTCAATCACATTTACCTCATACTTATTCTTATTCCATACTATCCATATTCTGCCAAGAGGGTGGGCTTCATTATTAATGAAAGAACCCCATCCAGTAAACAGTTTGCTTTCAATCCCAGCAAAATTGTTTTCCTTTATTTTAGTTTCAAGAATCCCCATCCAATCTATATCATATTTATTAACAACTCTCTTAATCTCCTCCTGTTTCATGGGACTATTCAGTCCCCTAATGTTCCAACTCCCTATCATGATAGAAAAGGATAATGCCCAGTATATGGGGCATTTTCCATAACCTTCATTAGAGCTTCTATTCCATTTCCTTCATTCATGTCCATAACCTTTGGTTTCCCTGCTTTCTTTCCAGTAACCACTGTGAACTCCTCCTCAGGTTCAGGGATCTTATCCATCTCCTTCTTATTCTCCATTTCAGGTGCTTGGTCATTGTTAACTTCAGCCCGTTTAGGTTTCCAAACCAGTTTTCTTCTCACTTCAAGAGATTTATCCCCTTTTTCCTGCATGATTCCTGTAGGTGCCCTAGTTTTCCACAGTGGGAGCAGAGACAAGGATACCATTCATAGGAGATCACCTGGCTCTTCACTCTGTCTTCATCATCTATAACTTGAACCATCAATGGGAACTCCTGTTGAACTTTTACCTCTACCTGTATCCTAGCATAAGCATACTTCCTCTTACTTGCAGTAGGTCTATCCCGTTTTACAGGTTTACCCACCAAGCTTCCTATCTTACTGAGCCCAGTCAAGCTCCAGTACTTCATCTCTAGGTCAGGTAGCTGTATCCAAATGGGAATATCATCAAGTTGATCTATGTTAACCTTCACACCTGGATACCATTTTTGTACTAGGACAGGTTTATTGTCAAAATAATAGTACTTCCTTTTGATAACTTCATCCCTGTCCTCAACACGTTTAAATGAGACAATTAACTGACCCTCCTTGAGCACCGAAACTTCTTCAATTGAATAGGAACTCCAGATCCTGTTAACAAAGCCTTTCACCACCTCCAATGGAGGGTTTGCTCCCAAAATACAGCATACTAGCGTAGCATCCCAATATGTTGTAGTATCAATAACGTCATCCTTCGTAAGTTTAGCCACAAAATTCCCATTTACCTCAGTAGCTGGTATATAGCATAATTTCTGGTCATCTTCTTGGTTACCAACAACACTCGCATATGATTTCTGGATTGGAGTCTCAGTCTTATCCAGAATCTCACTTTCCTCCAAATTAGGGTTCGTCTCCTTTTCAGGTACAACATCGTCTGGTATGTCCATTCCTTTCTCTGATTTATCATGTGTCGAGACACTCCCTTGTGCTGATCCAGGCGTTTGAAGTCCATTCCCACTGCTGCTCGGATTGTTCCTTTTTGGCCGTCCCCTTCTCCTCGCCATAGCTAGAGAGAGAAAAGTCGGATTATTACTTACGGTAGAATGCTTTTCAAGAGGTTTTACTAGTATTGTATCTTAGTTGTTTTGAATTTAAGCCCTCGAATTATTTTTCAATGCTGTTAATCATTTTTTTTTTCAGTGACTTGGCCACTCGCATCATGGATATGATGTGCGATGGACATGTTAACTGTGATGACATGTTATCAGCTATCACAGGTTTCCGTTTTTTTATTTCTTTGAACACAACTAATTTATTTCACTCAATCACCCAATGTCGCCTGCTCAAACCGTGTCCATTAGAATCCCAGCCAAACTTGCAGATTTTTGCGCCTTTCCTTTTACCTTTACTGGAGTCAGGAATATGTTTGCAGGGAAGGACTGCTGTTTCAACTCTTCCAGGATTGATCTCTATCTTGATTATGAACCACACCCATCATCCACAAAGAACTTGATTCATCTTTTCCAAAGTAATTCATCTTGCAATGCGATCATCCTTATTGTTATGTTGTGATAATATATCTATCTCTAATGTGTGTGGGTGTTTCAGTGATCAGGAAAGGCACTTTTGCGAAGTACGATTACGGGCAATGGAAAAACTTGATTCTTTATGGCCAAAGGAACCCTCCGGAATTCGACCTTAGTGAGATTCCTCAATCCCTGCCTTTGTGGGTGGGCTATGGAGGGAATGATGCCTTAGCCGACGTGGCAGATGTTGAACACACACTGAGGGAGTTGAAAGGGACGCCGGATGTGCGGTATCTAGGCGATTATGGTCACATTGATTTCATTTTGAGTGTAAGGTCCAAAGAAGATGTTTATGACAGCATGGTTGGGTTTCTCAAGTCATTGCAGAAAGCAAGCAATTTGTAAGAGATGAATGAATGGGTTATCTATTAAACAAATACTCCCTTCTTCACCATAAAAATGTCTAGTTTGTAGTGATTTGTGCTTTTAGTATGACAAATAAGGCCTTTTTTGTACTTTTTTCCACTATGAACTATTTCTTCTGTTTGTAAGTTTGTACATACTACGTATATGAATTTGCTGAACTGTGAATACATGTACTCCCTCCGTCCACAAATAAACTTCTCGTTCACTATTTAAATGGTCAAATTTTATTCACTTTGTTGACCTATTTTCGTCACTCATTTGATAAAATAATATAGTCATGTCACATCTAGTTTTGTAGATCTTTTGATGTACTCCGTAGTTTTTTAATATGTAATTTTTATTTTTAAATTTTACACCATTTTTCATATAAAATGATTTGAAAATAACTTCAGTCAAACATCATAACACGCAATGAGAAGTTTATTTGTAGACGGAGGGAGTATCGTATAATAATGCCCCACTAATCACTTTTCCCTTTTTTGGATTATAATATTTAACTTGACGAAGTTACTTTTAATTAAATTTAAACAAAAAATTGGTGTAACATTAATAAATAAAATTCATGTATTTAAAAACTACTTCAAAAATTTATGAAATACATGGTAACAAGATTTTTTTATTTTATCAAATGATTAATAAAAATAGAAAAAAAGTAAATATAGTTTGACCATGTAAATAGTACATTGAAACATAATCATTGGATTGGGAGAGTAATATGTAACCACGAAAAGTCAGTACTTTCAAACAATTTGATTAAAATTTGTGAAAAGAAGATACATTGTATATGGATCACTTAAAGACTATTCTTTAGGGCTAGAAAAAAGAGCTGGATGTTGAAAGAAATTGGAAGAAACCAGAAAAACTAGAAGAACAGGAAGAAACTCGATGGAACTAGAATAAACTGGAAGGAACTGGAAAAAACTGGAAGAAACTGTAAGAAATTGGAAAAAAATTAATGAAACTGAAAAAAACAAAAAAATTGGAAAATCGAAAAAAAAGTTAATTTTTTGTGTATTTTTGTATTATTCTCATTCTAACTATTGTTGTTATAAATTATTAGTATTGTTGTTGTTGTTGTCATCACGTTATCATAATGAATGCCTTTAAGATAAAAAAAATATTTTTACTTTTCATACAAAAAAAAACTACTTTTGAAAAAAGATTAATTAAAATATAAAATTAGAATAAATATTAAAATGTTAAATATTTAAAATTTATTGTGGTTACGCGGCACGTCATTTTATTTATGCAGTATTTATCATAAAATAATATATTTTTGATTATATTTTATATATTACAAGATTTTGTTTTAAATATCAGACATGTCACATAATGTAATCAAACTTATTTTTTCTTTAATGATTGACATTTTATTTTTATTGTAACCCTACTGTTGGAATAAACACATAGAACTTTGTTTTTACAATTCTTTATGTTTTGTTCCTAGTTTAGACTTTTTCTCTAAAGTAATTTGACTTTCAATTTTTTTTATAAAAGTTAGAAGAATGAAAAACAAAATTAATTTTTGAAATAAATAAAAATGATAAAAAATTGAGTAATAAAGAGAAAGGTGAGAGGTCTTTTTTCTCCGCTCGTGAAAAAAATTGAATTATTTATATGCGCACTATTTTACATATTATAGACAATAAAAAGTAAATTAAATAAATGAAAGTATAACTTTTTTGTTAGTTGTATTTAAATTATTGGTGATATTATGTGCTATCTGAATTTGTTTTTTTACACTTTTTGAGTCGTTTTTTCAAAATGTAGTTCTCTCTTGGTTTCGTAATGTAGTACTCTCCACCCCATTCCATTATTATATTTTAGATTAAAATATTGATGTTTTCCTTATATACATTTAGATTAAGAAAACATTCTACGTAATTATCATGTAGATTAATATACAAAAAATGGAATTATTCATATTAAAAAGTTGAATAAAAAATAATAATCAGTGTGAATCATAAATATAATGAGATGAAAAAATGAAATAATTTATAAATTATAGTTATAAACATAATAGTTGTAATAACAATAATAATAATAATAAGGCTATGTCCCTCTTTCTCTTCTTCCCTCCTAGGAGATGGTCCAACATCAGCTGGTTATCCATATCGTCTTCTAATCCCTCCCTTTGTTCAACTGAAACACACAAGGTAGTTAGCATACAAATGGTAATGTCGAAATACTTAGCCCCGTGGAGATCCCTTAGAGATCTGGCAATGACACAAGGCCATAATGTTCTCCTCCAACTTGACCCTTGGGCCCCGTAACGCAGGGAATGGAGAGGGGAACTACTTCCTCAGCCGTCGTCGCTTATAGCCGGTTGCGGCTATCGATGACGGCTGAGGCGGGTTGGATTGGCTTTGATCCTGGCCGGTTGATCGGCTTGGAGAGAACTAGATGACAGGGAAGGAGAATCTGAATCCGAGATGAACATGATGGCAAGTGAAGGACTGACCTGGAAATGAAGAAAATGGGTTGGGTTGTAACGGAAGAGCGGATTGGCGAAGATAGGGTTGAAAGTGGCGTCTAGTGGCGGTTTTATCAGAACAGGAAGGAAGACGAAGGAGCAAGTTATGATTGCATTTGAAGGAAACCGTACCAACCGCTGCACGAATATCAAGGGACGACTTAGATCTGTTGGAGGGATGCCCACGTGGACCTCAACAACTCCCCATCCCTCGACGTGGCCTGCTTGATGAATGAGAAGTTGGGGGGCTCGTGATGGGCCCATACCCAGCGGATGACCCAAATCTCGTGCCCAAAAGGCGTTTGGCTACCCGCGTGTGTCTGCATCGGCCCTGGGCCGGCTCAAGGGCTTGGGCCTGAACTGACCCGAATGAACACAGCTAGGGAAGTCTGAGTTGGAGAAGGAGACGCGGCTGGATGCGGAAAAGTAGCCGAAGGAAGGGGATCGCGCGAAACTCGGATTAGTTTCCATGAATTGTAAACTACCATAATTATGTAGAATGCATGTATACATATGGAGGATCCGAACGGGAATCCTCAAGCTAAACCTAGCGCATAATTCTATAATTCTCGAATTCTTTGTTCTTGTAAATTCTTTTTCAATCCGCCGTTCAAGTCGGATCATTTGGTAGATTTATTGTCTATCAAAGAGAGTTAGGTAGTCCCTTGAATCAAGATCCTTTTGCTATAGTTGTTTGCGCGTGTCTCTATGTATATTTCTTGACATTAATTGTTACTCCCGTTTTTTAAAACCGTTCCTATTTTGACTTTAGAGCAAAATAAAGATTGTATATTTATGGTTGTCTTTCCAATTTTTCTTTTGATGTGATGGGTAGAAATATGATGCGATGAGTAGATTATTAATGAAAAAGTATGATGTGATAGGTAGGATAAGAAAAAATAAGAATAAAAATAGTTTTTTAATAAAAAGTGAAAGTATTTTGGAGAAAGAGAAAAAGAAATATTTTAAAAATTAAAATGGGGAGAGTTTGTTTTCTTTATGATATTTGCTTTCATTATGCGTGAGAGTCTCCATAGAAACATTTTTTTTTTGTTTTCGAGTAGGAATTAGGGCTGTAAACGGATAACTGAAAATCCGATTACCGTCCGCATCCGTATCCATTTAAAGAGGAAATATCTGCATCCGTTTTAAACAGATATCATCCATATCCGATTACTAAACGGATACGGATTTGGTAATTGTATCCGATCCGTTTAAAATCCAATCCGAATATGCATCCGTTTAAATAACCATTCATCCGAATATCCGATCCGTTATACATAGTTTTTTCTAATTTTTTTATGTTTATATTTTGTTTCTCTATTGATATTTCAAAGTATAAGACATTTTTATATACAAAATAAATGTGTAGACACATAAAAATATGTGTAGACATATAAAAATATGTGTATATGTGTGTTGTGTATATCTTTTTATCATATGAAGTTATCGTAGAATATCATAAATCATGAAAACAAAGAAAATAATTATCCCATAACAAATTATAGTTAATTTAATAATAGTTTGACTTTAATCCAATTTAAAATTAAAGTATTGTTTAATTTGATTTTAAAAATTGGAAATGAATACGGATATATCCGATATCCGACCGATATCCAACGGATGCGGATACGGTTTTGATTTTTAGTATCCGCCAAGATCTGTATCCTAATTCGATATCCGACAAAAATAAACGGATACGAATTTATAAATGACACCTCCGATCCGATTAATATCCGTTTAGATCCCTAGTAAGAATAAAGTCACATGCTTTGTTTTGAGATCTTAAGGGACGTTTGGTTCAGGGATAAGAGAATGAGAAAACGGAATGGGATTTCCTCATTCCCTTGTTGTGGTTTGTTTAAAAAAAAGTGCATCCTTATTTTTAGGTTTTGGATTTCTGTTTTAGGCTTTTATCATTCCCCGCCTGTAGGTCCTTATTCCCATTCCCATTCCCATTCCTTCTTCTCACCCTTCCCATTCCCGTTTCTTTCACACTCGGGCGCTGCCACACTCCTCCCAGGGCGCTGCAACTCCATCCCCCGGCGGCCGCAGGTATGTTCTCCCCTCCCTTCCTAGTCGGTTTCCTCCTCATCCCTTCCATCTCCG